CATTTTTAGTGGTGTTTTAATTTAAGTCTTTTGTGCAAATGTAAACCACAAGTGAATAAATCAATGATAATTATACATTTATTTTATTCCATCATTTGATTAAATTTAATTAGATTTATTCACTTCAATAGTTGCTAAATATATGTTTAATTGAATGTTTTTGTATTTCAAGTACTTAAACCTCATTAGTAAACTTCAACTAATATAATTTGGGCAAAACAAAATAAATTCTTGGATTGCCAGTACGATGGTTGTGAGAGTCACAAGTAACATAATCTACATTGCTAGATCCACTTGATTGTTTACGTTTGTTTATTATACGAGTTTAATAGTTTTTTTAACTAGTTTTAGGAGTTACTTTCTCTAAAATGTTTTTGCTAAACTTACATACATTCTGTTATATTGTTTGTTCACATGGACTAAGCCACTGCTTCGCTAATATTGAATGATATAACCATTGTACCAAGCCATATAGTGTATCTTAATCAAATGTCAGTAATAGTAGTAGCCAAATAAATGTTATCTTATGTGTTTTTATATGACACAAGATAACTATTTTACTCAATATTTTCTGTGGGAAAAATCAACAATAACACCAAAAAAGATCTTATAATAAAATGTAAATATTTGCCACCATGCATTAAGGGACATAAAGTCTCTGCGTTATAAACACCAAACTGGCTTGCATACTGATTTTTTTTTTTATGTTTTAAAAAAGAAATATTTTGTGGAAATTTACATTGTAACCCTGCTTTAGACAATAACACACTCAATAATAATTAAACAGCAAAATTAAACTACAGCATCAACTATACTGATTTGTAACGCAACTACATGTTAGTGTCGGTTTTTTAAGTTCTTAATCAAATTACTACACATTTGGAGAGTTTTAGCTGATTTTTTACAGCCCCATCACTGGTTGTGTGTTGTCAGTGTACATGTGTCACATAATCATTTTGTATAGAAGTACAATGGATCAATAACCTGTAGAAATACTACCAGATTTATGTACATATCACAGTAAAATACATGTTGTATTCAACCATAAATCAACAGCTTAACTAATACAGTAGAGTGACCATTCACACAGCTTGTGATGCTGCTGGAAAAAAAAGTGCTCTTCATGTGAGAACAACCTCTCCTCGTAAATGTTGATATTGGGTATTGTTGAGAACAAAGAAACTAGTAAACAGGTACTGTTTGGCACAAAGAAAGAGTACTTTCCTAGTAAATGCTGAACAAAACCAGATTAGCAGACTATTAGAACAAGAGCAATGAGCCAAAAAGTAGTATTAGAACAATCTTTGTAATTCACATAACACTTGTACAAGGGTAATGTGCTACTAAAGGAGCAAATATGGTACTGTGTTTCCTAAGAGTTCATGCCAAAATACATAGTAAAGCAGTCTGTAGATATTTTGTTGGTATCACTGAGGTCAGCAGTGTTCTCCCACGACTTCATCTCAAACATCATGGCCAATTTGCATAACAATACATATCATTTGCATAATAATCAGTTTTTCTAACAAATATTACGATACAATAACTGTTACTGGTATTGTGAAAATTAGTCAATCTACAATTGATTAATTAGTATTCACTGCTGCTATTGCAATCGCTATCTGACTTTTTTGTGTAAAATACACACATTAAAAATGTTTTGCTAATTAAAACGATTCATTGATGTTCATCTTAGACATTGCATCAAATCGCCAACAAGATGTTGTTTTTAAACATAGCAAAAAAACATACACTCTGCGCCGCCATCTTTGTTACCTTGAACAGAACCCTCTTGTAACCATCATGCATTGGTCACAACGTGCATTATGTCGCCTTAGGGCGGGGTACTGAGGCACTCTGTGAATGAGGTATTTTCAGAGTTCAGAGTTTGTTTTTTCTTCGCCATCTCGTCTCCAGTTGAATTATTTATACGCTACTTTTCTTTCCAATGCGACTTAATATAATTTTTTGGGGGAGGGGCGTAATTAATGTCATCGGCGATTGAGTGATAAAAATCGGAGTGCAGCAAATTGTAGTAGATCTTCCCGACGTTTGCTTTGTAACATTGTTGCCGTTCCGTGCAATGGACAAATTATTGCTAATCTAGTATTTCAATCAATACATGTTATTGTTTTAAATATGTGCAAGACTGACACTTGTAAAAAAAAAAGCAATAAGCATCATGGGTGAGTGACAAAGCGTCACGGTACCGTGTCGCTTCAGAGGCCTGGGGAGAACACTGAAACGTCATCAACTAGCAGGATCTATGTGTGAACAAAGAGTGAACAAATATGATGACTAGTAATGAAATTAGATTGTCATTTATTACATATAGTACTGGGAGATGTACAAAAGAAACATGTAGAAATAAATCAGAATCTCTTTTTCTTCTTGCCTTTGAATTTCTTTCCCTGGTAGATAAAATATAACATCATATAAAATGATGTACAGAATAAATAAATATCTGATATATGAATCACAAGATTTATTCAAACATTTTATTTTATTATTTAATGTTGTGTAAATCTGATAATCTGAATAATCAATTACTTTTACACTCACCTTCGATGACCTTTTTTTCCTGTGAAAAAATATAAATATTGTACATCAGAATATAATCTCAAATACTGCAGGATTTTGAAGTTTATAAATAGATAAATAAAAGCCTAAACTGGATAGCAGAACCCTTTTAATCACTAATTCTAATTGTCCTGCTGATATGTAGTATAAAGTGATCACACAGTAACAATCATTATTTCGATTATAACAGGGATAATTTGTGTATAATTTAATTACAAAATTTAATTTACAAAATCAGCTTTTCTTTCATGAGTTTCTAATATATATTTTGTAATTTTAAATTATACCACAACCTTGAAAATGAGCACACTCAAATTAAACCTTTTTGTATTTAAGTAATGAAATATTTATTCAAATTAGCTGGAGTTGCTAATTGTAATATAAATTGTAATATACTGTAAAACATGTCTTTTTGGCGAGCATGTCTTTTTAGCGAATTTAGCGAGAGAACTGATTCGCTAATTCAAGATGTCGCTGGGGATTTGTATACAGTAATCCGGAACATAAAAATCTGGGGCGCTTCCTAATTACACTTGACAGTTTTTCTTTGTTTTTATGGAAGTGATAACTGTGCATTTGTATTGGCATGCGACAAGCAAGTATTGTGAAAACAGGAAATCAACAATGACAAGAGAGATTCACTAAATCAACAATTCGTTATTACAAAATTTTCCCTGCAATTCGTTAAAATTGCATGTCACTTTTTCAACATGTTTTACAGAAAGTTGTTTTGACAAAATACATAATCATGTGCGATAAAATGTCAGCCAATCAAATTAAATCTTATAAAACTCCAGTGTTTTAAGATACCTTTTCTTCGAGCTGCCATCTGTATCATGTGCCCCAGTCAGTGCACTGAGTTCACCAAAACTTGTCAAATCAGCAAGGCTTGATTTCATCAGAGAACGTTTCTGGGCAGCCTATAAAGCAACCATGTCATCAATAACACAAAGCAGTACATGTAGGGTATTCTGGAAGGTATTAAGTTATCTTTGGAAAAATCTATGCTACATTTAGCACAAAAGTTGGTGGGTATTTTGATTCAAAATATAAAAAGATATAATATTTTTTAATAGTTTTCCTACTAACATTATAATTCATAATGGCGGTGACATTACCTTTTGTTGCTTAGTAACTGGTAGACGGACAAAGTGTTCTTCTTCATATCTGACCATGAAATAAACAAACGTTTAAAACTTTAAAAGTGTGACAAATTATTAAAAAATGATCTATTCAAGAAGAAAAAGCGTTTTATTTATAGTTATTTTATTATTTAATTTATTTGTACACAGAGAAGAAATAAGGTTTTAGCAATGCTGTTGTTATCTGCTATTCATGATGACAAGATTATTGTGATTTTTCACATGCACTGAGAACAGGAACATTACATAAACTGAACACAAGGCCTTATGTCCCCTCAACTGAATAATATTCTTCTGATTAGGGATGTATCAAGTGAGCAGAATTGACTAATATTTTTTTTCTGACACAGATTACGTATGCTGGGTTGCCATGCTAACCAGGGTACCACATGTCACGTTAGGTTAGGTTAGGTCAGGTCAGGTCAGGTTTGGTTGGTTCAGTACATTTTCCCCTTTCATCTTAGTAAAATACAGTAGGGTATATCCCATGCAAAAATAATCAAATTCATTTTCAAAATACTTTGCTTTTACATCACAACATTATTATGAATTAGACAAAACCAATTTTAACCAACAACAGCTGCATAGCCCCTGGGTGTTCTCAGTTACCAGTAATGGATCATTAACACTGTTATCTTGTGAAGCGTGACATAATTAAATATACCATGTCATTGCACTACGCTCCAACAAAATCAGTCCATGCATGTCTGAGACATAAAAAATTACTGTCATCTTGCTTCAGTAAATTATTGTGTCTTGCAGCAGAAGTTAAATCTAATGCAAGTGTTCAGTGGTAATACATAAGTGGAAGCAGTCTGAACGCTATAGTTAGCTAATACTAAGAAAAACATGTATAAACTATGTACAGATTAAGAAATAACTAGTCCAAGCCAAATCTGATTCATTTTTAACATCCTATCTTGACCTTAGTATGAACAAATGAAGTGAACACAAATGCCTAGCACAAAGTACTAGTAAGCACCCTACGTAATTACATCTAGCAACAAAATACCATTGTGTTCATTGTCCATTTGAAAGATTTACTATTTTGGTATGTCATTTCAGATATACATGTAGCAAGTGTCTAGAAACTTTGTTATCAAGGGAAATATGAACAGAGGATAAGATGAGCTGTTGTTGTAAATGGGTTATCCAAGAAGCTATAATGGACATTTCTCTTTGGTTACTGGGAAAGGATTTGCAATGTGATTATTCTTAGTAAGTTTGGAGCATCCCTTCTAAGTCTATACTTACCGTAGATCCCTCCTGTGACATGCAAACCTATGGCAGTTGTTATAATCTTAGTACTAGAGTGTAACCTAAACAAAACTAGTCACAGCTTTCAAAACATATTTACCCTAAAGTATGCTGAACATTGTGTAAATTATAAAAGAAACCTACCACACAGTGAATCATAGACTGATTTTCACCAGAGTTAGAAAGTTTAATCAGCAGAGAATATACAAACTTACTGCTGTCTCTGTTTGCTCTCTACATCTTCTTTCATTTTACGGAAATCTGTGAATTCCTGTGCAAGAAAGATAAATTTCTTCAGAATCAAATGAGATTAGTGATTACGACTTATCTGTAATTACTATGCAAACATCACATTTTACATAATAACTATTTTATATAATGCAGCTATTGATAATGATAAAATAACGTTCTCCACACTGATAGGAATTAATTTTAATTAACATGCTACACCATATAAATATGTTGTGAATATGTAGACCATGATGACTGAACGTAAACTATGCTTCGACAATGACATGTTAATAAAAGTGAAATGCGGTAAATACTTGATACCATATTCAGTTTACCTATCAAAAATTGATAGTTACCAGTTTTTGAAAAAATCATGATGTTTATTTGCCGAAATCAATTCCAACAAATCATACTTCGACATCGATATTTTACTTCCGCATTGTGTTAACAGAAAGTCTTCAAGAATCTCTGAAGAATTGTGCCTGAACAACACAGCATTCTGATTGGTTAATAACAGAATAACGCATTAGGTCAAGGGATGTTGTTGCAGGTCAAATCGCGCAAGAATACATTATGGTGGAAAGCGCTTTTCATCAAGAGTTTGTGTATGATCCAAAACATTCGACAATGATGAAGATTTTGACTTTGACTGTGTTCCAACAGTCTCTGACATTTTTAACCTTGTAAATTTGGGTGGTACGTAATTACTGTAAAAACTGTATTAGAAACCGCGGCTTCTATTAAAATGGTACAATGCAACAGAGGGGATGCGGCTTCTATTAGAGCATCTACACATATGAGAAATGATGAATTTTTGGTTCTCAGATATTCAAAAAGAATAGGTGCGACTTCTATTTGGGATGCGGCTTCTTAAGTTCTAAAACAGATTTTACGGTAATATTTAATATAATGTGCATTTTTTGTGACCATATCTGTTTAATTAATTTTGAAATTTAATTTTTCTCAAAGACGTAACATCCTCCTCAAACTGTTGCATGGTGAATTAGAATTGTCATTTGCACAATTTTCCCGAGGGGAGTGGGTGCTCGGGGACGCACCCACCCCAAAAAATCATTGAGGAGACTGGGTGTTAAAGTCGAGTACGGTAAGTTTCTTGCGTGATACAGTGTCTTTCAAAGTCATCGGCATGGGAACAGGCACTGATCCACAGATCACATTTCTCAGGTTGTGTTTTTGGTTTCGTGAAACATGTAAAAACACATCATTCAGGTAATACTTTAGATGAAATTGAGAATCACTCTTGCATTTATCGTAAAAGCACCAGTTAACTCCCATTGTAGCGCCTTTGTACAGTCAATATTGTGTGAACGAAATACAAGGAGTGAACATTGGCACTGTCATTGTCTCTAGGGGAAAGTCACGTGATCGAAACTGGTTGCTAAGGACGTAAAGCTTGACCGCACAAGATCTTGCAATAAGCGGAATATGGTTTATTCAAGCATGTTATAAACTCACCTTAATCTCTTCAGGTATGTCTAAATATTCCTCTGTAGTAGAAAAAATAAAATATTATTTACATTGGAGAGAAAGTCACATACCCGATATATACCAAACGTCAATAAAACTAATAATGAGATATATAGGTGAATAGTATGTATCTCAAGACGAATTATTTGCATAGCAACTTGGTCATTGTCATATTGAATTAGATCATCATAAAAACTTTGATTGGAAAAAAAAAATAATAGTTTCAAGACAATATTTGCTGTAGTAGTGCAGCTTACATGAATTACAAAAGTATTTCTAAGGTAAAAATAAATACTGTAAAATGACTAATTTTCACTGGGTTTAAATTTCACTGATTTACCATTTCAGGCATATTCAGTGGGTTTTAAATTCACGGTTTTATCATTTAGATAATGTGGTCTATGCCAAATTTTACATATTCACTGGGTTTTAATTCAGCGCATTTTCCAGTCAGCGAAATAATCAAAATTAAAACCTAGTGAATAATTAATCCTTTTACAGTAACTTTTTTAATGATTCAGTTTACAAGAAATGTGATGTTTGATTGCTGCATGTATCAGACTAATTTATGTACAAAATGGTTTGTTTTAAGTGTGGTAATGGTATAGAGATATTCCACATTACACCACACAAAGCTAACTAGCTGACTGCGTATACTAGTGTGCAAACTAAATCACACCAATCACCAAACAGTGATCTACTCAATATAGGGGTGGGTGGAGTGATTGTGCTATGTTACCTCGAAGTTCTCTCATAAATTGACTATTAAGAGCTCTCTTTTTGGCTTTCTCTTCTTTCTTTTGTTGTTGGTCAATTACTGTATCTTCCTCATCTGTATAATAACAATAGTATCAGGTAAGTTACATTCAAGATTCAAGTGGCAATCCCTGGGATGCTTTCCATAAAAGTTAGTAACAGTTGGTACCAACCCAACGGATCAAGACACTGTAATCTTCAGAGCTACTGATTTATAACACTTGTTTGCACTTATCAAATGTTCATTTTGTTAATAAATATTTGATCCTTGCGGCTCTAATCATGTTTTGTACAGATACTCACCATAAGGCATGGCAACTAACTTGGGAGGAACATATTTTTGAACTTTCTGTTTTTTCCTGTCCTCTTCATTTTCACTCTCATCATCAAACTGAAATGAAAGTTTCCATATTTCATCACCATGACAACACACAACATCCATAACATCAGTGGCATATTTTCATTGTTTTTTTGGTAGAGTTGCCCGTTCACCCTGAAGTTGGGATAGTAAGGTGTGAATGCATGCATGAATAATCGCTTTGGCCATGATATCTGTCATTATATTGATCAGCATTCCCATCGTTACCCCAACAACAGCCATTTCCAGTGGAAACTTGTCAGTCGCGAAAATGAATTTATCACTTTCCCAACATAACTTCACATATTCAGCGGTCAAATATTGGAATTCCCTTACTGTCCAAGTAAAAGATTTACGAAATAGAAACCAATTTAAAACAGCACTGAAAAACTTGCTCTTACCACAGTGAGCATCCTGTCGTCCAAATGATGCATACCACTTACTGCTATTTGTTTTAACTTGTATTTTTCTGATTAAGTACTTACTCATTTATGTTACCATACCATTTTCTTTTTATACTAGTTATTTATTTTAAATGATAGGGCCGTGAACTAGACTAGTTCTGCTGAACTATTTTCATGGTCCACACAAGAATTATTCAAATTGTGTACATATTACCTTGTATATTAATGTTCCCCTTTATATATCTCAATAATTGTATACATAATTTTCTGGTGAAATAAATCAATCAATCAAAAAAAAAAAAAATACCTACCTTACTTGATAAATTGTCAGGGTTTGGTTTAAATCTCAATGGGTCGTTTTCATTGACATTTCCAGTTGTGGCAGTTTTTACCAACTTATCTATTTGGTAATGTAATTTGTCATCAATGGGTCGCATCTTTTCCAGCACTGTCCTGATTTCCACAAGCCTGTCAATATCAGGGTCATTCTTTAATGATTTTCCACCAGTTTTTTTCCACATAGTGTGAGTTAAGTTAACAAGGTAGCTGAAAGAGTAAAATCAAAATTAAGAGTGAAAGACCTAGAGCATATGCAATTGACATATTCCATTAATAATATGACAAATCATTGAAAATATGTCCCTGTAATAACAATCCTAGTTAGTATTTGGCAATTGACATATTCCATCAATAATATGACAAATCATTGAAAATATGTCCCTGTAATAACAATCCTAGTTAGTATTTGGCAATTGACATATTCCATCAATAATATGACAAATCATTGAAAATATGTCCCTGTAATAACATAATCCTAGTTAGTATTTGGCAATTGAAATTTAAGGAAGCAAAAGAGCGAAAGATTGCAATTAAATTTTATTGAAAGAACAATTTGATGCAAATGGCCACCAGTACATGTATGTTGAATTGACAAGAATTCAAAACAAAATATGTATTTGTATACTATGAGGTTATTTCGACAATACCTCGAAGTATGCACGACAGTACAGTACAGCTGGAGTATCGACCGACACGCAGCAAACTTCTTTTTGTGGAGTCAGGTCAAACTCTGATGGCTGTCGCTTGTTTTGATTATTAGAGGACACTTACGCACAGAATCATTCCATATTTGGAATTCACATTTCCTAATATGGTAGGATGAAAATACCCTGTAAAATACTACAATATTACGGCACGCTGTAACTTATGGAGTTATGGTGACAGATGCATAATACTGTTATATATTACCTTTGTACCAATCAGTCAAAGCATAACCATGCACAAACAGAACCCATAACATGAAACTTTGTTTGGTACTTCATCTCAGGAGGACTAGTAAATTACACACATACATTTTGTATATCACAATAAAAATGTGATTTTGCAACAAAATTGTATTCCAAATAAAATACGTATTCCAGTTTAGCAGTCATAGTTTTACACATGTAGAAAGATCTCATAACCATGACTTTGAATAAAACGTTTGAATATGAACAAAGGTGCACACCTGAGTAAAAGCTGATATTTGACTTCCAGAAAACTGACACCTTTATTTGTTGATATCTCACCATCCTGTACTTTGTGTAGTAGATTCTGCACATGTTTAGTCACATTGGAAACCTACAGTTGGAATAATTGGGAAACGAAAGCATATAAAAATATATGTCTAACAATAGACAAAATCCAATAGACAAAATCAAGAATTTATATTCTATTTAGAAAATCTTCTTCTAACAAACTGCACTCCTCCCACCAATCAGTTTTGCATAAAACACATCTGCTTTTGAAAACAATCACACCTCCAGTCATGCCCTCTTCCCAAAAACACAAAAAACAAGAGTTCTTCACAAAAGAAACACAAGAGGGCAGTATAACCCAAAAGTATGTGTGATTTGATGGTTTTACTTGCAGTATTCAATGTCATGGAAGTAACAACCCACACACAATTTGTTGCAATCATACTGTTTTAATGTGTTTTTATCTGAGTGAGTTTTCACAACAGTAAATATTCGATAGCCAAACTCACCTGTTCAGTTAACCTTTGTAAAAGCGACAGTGACTCAGGAAGATCATTGATCACTTCAGACTAATTAATATATCAAACAGAGTTAATACAGGAATTATTAATACCAAGTACCTAATTACACATGCTTTGCCCAGGTACATTTTGTACATTAGGTAAAAAATACAATTAGAAACAAGATGTGCAATCAATGAACATGTTTTGTTGAGAAATAATCACTGAACATCGTTGACCTAAAAACATTGTAAATATAAAAAGGTGTTAAATCATTCACATTCAATGTGATTAAAGTTGCAGTTGTTGAATAAACTTAATTCAAAAGCCTTTTTAATTTAGGGTAACTCAAGAACCAAATCACATTGCCTTTAGAATTCTGCTTTGGGCATGTGCTAAACACAACTAAGCTAGGAGGTATGTAATGTCCAATAATTCAATTTTGAGTAGTGTTTCAGGACATATTGATCAGCGGCCACACACAAATCATGCATACCACCATCTTGAATTCCATTCAACTGGCGTGTGAACTAATTACTTAAATTCAGCAGTTCATATTTAGTAAATCAAAAAACCACCTGGCTGCACTTACTCGCCAGGCATAGACTACTTCCCCAGAAGTAGTTAGACTGGGGTGCAAAATTACTGCTTTGTCAAAACAGATAGCATCACACCCCAAACTTTAGACCACTTTACAGTGTTTCAGATGTGCGCGCATATTGTTTTGGGTGTAACGTAAATTTACATGTGTGATATTCTAGATGTACTGATCAAAGTCTCAGAAATAAATGCAGGACAATGCAGAAGTATTCTTGCACCTTAGTCTCTCTACTTGAGGGAAAGTTGTCTGCTGTATATAAATTGTCGGTGAGGGCGCAGTGACACACGTCGAGCACGGACGGAAGATATTACTGCATCAACATCGTGACTAGTTCTGTGTACTTGCATCGATTACACAACGGACTATCGTGCAGCAACTAACTGACAGTATTGTTTTCATGGCTACAATTAGTCAGCAACATTAACGCGTGATATGTTTACACTTTGAAACAGGAAACTTTCTTTACTGAACATCGACACTACTTTACCGTACAATTTTTTTCATTATCATGACCGAATCAGAGTGGTTGAACAGCGAGGTAAAACTGGAACACAGCGTCACCTACCAACACCATCGCACATGTTTAACGTACAAGTTAAAAAAGAACGTAACTTACCGTGGAAGCAGCCATTTTAGATTATTCCCGACATGCTTAGAGCTTCGGTTCATTCCATTTTATGACATTGCTTGTGGTATTTATTGTTAGGGAAATATAGGAAAAAAATAGCCTACTAGACATGTGAATCTAAAGTAAATAATAATTTTGAAATATTATTAGATAAGTAATCAAATTCATATGAAATTCGTTTGTTTTTCATAGAATGTAAATTAAATTAACCACCCCTTACCGTAAAATGGACCATTCCATATCCAACATGGCGTTCAGTGGAGTTGTTTCTCGTGGTCGCCGTCACAAATGGACAATAGATTTCACAAGCAGGTATGTAATGTTGTATCTCCCGATGATGCAAATCATTTGTATTGAACAACATTCAAAACAACCTGATCGACGATAACAGTTGTTTGTTTGTTTGTTGGCTGTACTGGATATAATTTGTGATGTATGTATTGTTCGATACACAGGCGGCCTTCGTATTTATTATGTGTTGAGATATTAATGGGGGGGGGGGGAGCAAGGTGTGGACAGCTGGTACAGGTTACAAGAAATAAAATGAAAGTTCTATTTACAGTAAAAAATAGGTTTTTACACTTTACAGATAAAGCAAATTCCCAATCGCGTTTTTATACATTCATTCTTACAAAAAAAAAAAGATCTTAATACAAATTACGGACGAATAAACAGATTGTGTGGTGATTGATTTGAGTGTTCATAAGACCATGGAGGTAATAAGAATTCTTATTACCTCCATGATAAGACTAAACAGAAAGTAGACTGCAGACAGCACATTATGCCGATATGTGTAAACACGTAGCTGCAGTTGTAGCAGTTCCGACTGGTCTATGTTGGATTACGTTACAGTCAAGGAGCTGTAGGTCCATACATGGAGTAAGCGTACAGTTTGCCAGCTCTAAATACTTGGTTGCTGTCCATTGATGTTATTTCTATGCAATCATTCCAAGCTGTTAAGGGATGCAACAATATTGATTTTACCAATCACCGATTTCAACTTTTAACCGATATATTTGGGTGTAAAGTCTCTGTAGTACTAGTTTGCATGGTACATGTGAATGGGATCTTTGCTGTATTCACATAATGTGCCTTCATGCATAATCTTGAAGTTGTTTTCACATTTAAATAGTGGGAAAATAAATTACATACATGTACAACTATAGGCCAACCACAATGTTTATGACCAAATCTTTATTCATGCATAATTGAATTATTTTCACAAATCTGTTGCTATGGTTATGTTCTTCAGATCTCGTGGAGACAAGCAGTTACTACAACAAAGCCAGACTGAGCAATTGCCAGCCCCGTTTGGCTATTCTGACAGACAATTACAAGATATCAGTACGCAGGATGGTGACCAATCATTGGTGGTAAAAGTGAGTGGAAATCACTGCTTCATGCTTTGTAGCGAAAATCACAAATAAGTTTTAGACGGGTAGATTTTTTTGCTCTATGTTTAGAGTGTGAAATTTCAACACACAATGGCACAAGTTGTCAGTCCATGTCTGTTTTATTCAAGGTTCTGTGACGTATTTCCTAGTATGCAAAAATTTATCAAAATCCTAGATCTAAGTATTATTTGCATATGTGTAGAATTTATTATTAGGATGCTACAGCCTTAAATAAAGATACTGGATGAGTAGCTAGTTTCACTTTTATTACCTTGACCGTGTTGTGTTAGCTATTTATAGCCTCGGGGTGCTTCGGGTTAACTCGGGGTACTTCGTGGAGATACGCAGACGACGTTGTAACATTTGTTAGTTACCAATAATAAATCTGGATATTCACCATTATCCTGGAAGTGATCTGAGTTACTGTAGAATACTTTATTTTCGCTTGGAATTTATTTTCGCTATTTTCGCTGAAGGGATGATTCCGTGAAAATAAAATCCAGCGAATATACATTTTTTCCTATATTTTACATTAATCTCATCAAAAATCAGTGAAAATAAATTCCAAGCAAAATGCCCAAAAAGCCTTTTCAGCGAAAATTAATTCCAGCGAAAATAAAGTATTCTACAGTATTTGATAACACTACATGGTGTCAGAAGTCAACGTTCCCACGAGACCCCGCCTTGGATGAAATTATTTGCTGTCAAAGAATAATTCATCGTTGGAAAATTACTCGACTGTCCTGGACGAAAGTGACGTCCATCATCTGGCGGTAAAGTTGCTAGTGTTATTATATTTATATATTACGTGACTTGCTACTTTCTGAAGCTAAACGCAGCAACTGGGAAGCGATCTAATCATATATCAAGTATCCTAGTCACAATTATTCAGTGATTATTCATAATATTACTTGCGAGAAGCCAGCGGACAATCTCAATTCGTGAGGTCAATGAACTCTGACCCGTGTACGCTCGACTAGAGAAATCACCCACCGAAGTTAGTTTTGAGGTGATAGTGTGATCGAATATGGCTACCCAGTTTCAAATAACCCCTCCAGAACAGTTTTCATTCAAAGGGGAAAATTGGGAAGCATGGATGAAGAGATTCGAGCGTTTCCGCTCTGCTAGTGGCCTAGGTGATAAACAGCAATCCGTACAAATAGACACACTGATCTACTGTATGGGGAACCGTGCAGAGGAAATTTTCAACAGTTTTGAATTTCCTCCAGCCCCTGAACCACAAGAAGGAGAACAGGCAGTAGCTTGGCCAAAATACTCTTCAGTGAAAGAAAAATTCAATGATCACTTCATAGCCAGAAGAAACATAATCTATGAACGGTCCAAATTTAATAAAAGGAAACAAAGAGAAGGCGAGACAGTAGATGAATTTATTACCGGCTTATACCATTTAGCAGAACATTGCAATTATGGTAATCTGAAAGAGGAATTGATCAGAGACCGTATTGTAGTTGGAATTCGTGACAAGAAACTCCAAAGAAAGCTGCAACTGGACAGTGATTTAACCCTAGAAAAGGCCAAGACTTCAGCAAGGCTGAGTGAACAAGTTGAGAAAGAACATGAACAAATGACTAAAGAAGATGATGACTCAAAGCAAGACAAAGCGGATATTGATGAAGTCTCCTACAAATATCAGAAAAAGTACAGATCAAAGTACAAACCATCTAAGAACACAAAACAGAGGTGTTTTAGGTGTGGAAATGGACCACATCATTTCAAGTATTGTCCAGCTAAGTCCAGTTTATGTAATAAGTGTGGCATAGTAGGCCATTGGGCAAAATTCTGTATCTCTAAGTCTGAAGGCAAACCAATGAAAGTTAAGTCACATGTTCAACATGTTACAAATGGAACTGATCACCTAGGCAGTACATCTAGTGATTCTAATTCAGATTCCTCAGAGACTGAGCCTCGGCTAATATAAGTTATGCATTCTTAGTAATGTTACTGCTAATGGGCAATCAGACTCCATTTGGAATATAGCACTGGATGTCAATAAGTG